AAAACTATTTTACTTCAAAGCCTAGCGTTGGTAAACACGCTTGACTATTGTTATTGTCTAATGCAAATACGGGACAAACTATTTGACAAATGCTTTCAATAAAACTTGTTTAATTTGAAATGAGATCAGCCCCTACGACATACATAAAGCTAACTAGATCAAATATTCCCGTTGTATATCCATATTTGCGGTCGACAATGAGAAGCCGCGAGTAAAAACAATTTTTTACTATTTGTCACCACATAAATTCGGTTAACTCAGTATTGCGCTGAGGTGACAGAAATATTTAATATGCTGATTTTCAGCAACCAAATTTTTGAACGTTCGGAGCGTCAAAAATTTAGCATATGTTTTGTAATAAATAATTAGCTATGCAAATGTGCAGTAAACTAGACAAAACCGCAAAGAAGGTTATATAAGAATATAAAGGAATATAAAAAGAAATATAAATATTATATTGTACCGAATTTTTTGTATACATATAGTATGAATTACTCAACGAAAAGTTTTCTTGATAAGTAATCAGGGCACGCAACTTGTTTCTTGTTTTTAATAGTGTTTGTACTGAAAACTCTGATATCCTTTTTTTTACAAGCTTACGTTTCTATTGCCAAGGCATGGAAATTCGAGCGGAAGCCGTGAATAATGCAGCTTATTCTGGTACGAAAAACAAACAACCCAAAGAAGTATTCGAATTAAAGAAAAAGATTGGATTATGGCGCGGGGTTTCTATTCTTGCTGGAATTATGGTCGGTTCTGGCATATTTTTGTCTCCCGTTGGCGTGCTGGCCGGTACCAATGGTAGTGTTGGAATAAGTTTAGTACTCTGGGTTGTCTGTGGCTTATTCTCAGGTCTGGCGGCATTGTGCTATGCTGAACTCGGAACAACTGTTGTAGAATCTGGAGGTGACTTTGCATATTTTAATGCAGCTTATGGAGGACCCGTTGCTTTTGCCTTTTCTTCGGCTTATCTTTTTGTTATGTACCCGACGGGGAATGCAGCTAAAGCCGTTGCGTTGGGAACATATATTGCTACACCTTTTTACAATGGAGATTGTGCTCCACCGACCACAGCTATCAAGTTTGCGGGAGCTGCAGCAGTTCTTGTGGTGACGTTCGTGAATTACTTCAGTGTTCGAAATGCTGCTAGAGTTCAGGTTGTATTCACCATTGCTAAATTTGTCGGGTTGGCGGCTATCATAATTGGTGGAATTACACGCCTGGCGGATGGAGACCCAGTTGCAAATTCTAATTTTGTGAATGCGTTTGACCCCAAAGCATTAGCCGGTCTCACTGCAACGCAGATTGGATTAGCATTCTACCAGGTATACAATTATTTGTGCGGTTTTATTATCAGTTTAAAAGTTCAACCATGCAAAACTTACATGGTCTCGTTAAGAAAATTACATACAGTTGTCTCAAAACTTGTTGTCAGTCTAAATGTACATTAACAGGGACTTTTTTCGTATGATGGATGGGCAAATTTGAATAGAGTGACAGAAGAAGTTAAAGACGTGGGAAAAACTCTGCCAAGATGTATTATGATAGCCATCACTGGAGTGACTGCATTTTATGTTCTCGTTAACATAGCTTATTTTTCGGGTAATTTCATTCTAAGCTAAATAATGATACTTATAAATTGTTTTTGTGAAGACCTAAATATTTTGTTATAATTATTTATATATGGCGTCGACAGTAAGCGATAATAATTACAACAATGCATGAAAATGTAGCCGTTAAAAATTGAATTAGTATGTCCTCATTGACATTTTCCTGATTAGCCAACGTCACGGAAATAGCACGTGCATGTATCCATTGGAATAAAGTCTATGGTTCCAAAAATAATTAAGTGTGTGATGGTCCCCAAAAATTTACTTCCGAAGTCACTCATCTGACCAAATATTGAGTAGATTTGACATTTTTCAGTTCTCACTCCTGAAAACATTCTGTCTTCAAAAGCAGTGGCTGTTACATTCGGGTATCGAGTTTTTGGATCTTTTGGTTGGATAATGCCATTGGCTGTGTGCCTTTCTATATTTGGATCACTGAACGGATCTTGTTTAGCTGGTGGAAGAATTGCATTTGCTGCAGCTAGGAGAGAGCACTTGCCTCAAGTAATCTGAAACGCTTTTATACCTTACTTGACAACAACATTCATTTATATATTTATTTTTATGAATCCACTTTTATAATGAATAATTCTTATCGACTGGCAGTATCTCTATAAGATATTTAAAATATATTAGTATAACAAGATTTTGCTCTGATAACGCAAAATATGAGTGACAATAGTGATGAATATCATAAGTTTTAACTGCTACAAGTCACGTGAAAACTCTTGGCAAGAAATGTATATGATTATTAATATCAGATATTCAGCAAATTTATATTCTATCAACATAAACTTTGCTTCTTTTTTTTATAAAATTTGAAGACGTTTTTCTGTAATATAAATGACAGAATATCTTATCATTATTTTTTTTAGATATTTTCTATGATTCACGTCGAGCATATTACTCCGGGACCATCTCTCCTTATTCATAACTTACTCGTTTTAATAATGCTTATACCTGGTGATTTTGACACTCTTCTCAACTCCATGAGTTTTGCAACTTGGATATTTTATGGTTTGGGTGCCGTCGGAGTTCTTGTTCTACGAAAAACAAGACCTGACTTGCCGAGGCCTTACAAGGTTACATAAATATTTTTTTAGATTTAAATCTTACTTTTTGAAGTGCTCACTCAAACTTTATATCTATATCAAATATGGTGTAAATAAATAGTTACATGATTAAATACACTTCAACGCTATATACTACTCTGGTTGAAAGGACTAAATGTTTGAGTTTTAAATTATAGTAAATTTTGGGACCTCCTGAAGTATGCGCACCAAGATGACGCACAACCTGAACTCAGATTGTGTACTAGGTTAGAGTTCAGTTTGTGCGACATCTTGGTGCGCATACTTCAGGAGTACCAAATTTTGTACTGTTCATGTATTTGCCTTGAATGAATAAAAGATTTTACATATACTTATACAAGGAAATTTGAGAAGTCCAAAGTACAAACTTCTTGAAAAATAACAAAACATAAAATCATTCAGAGTCCAATTGTTGTAATTTATTTAACAGGTTCCTGTTGTTATACCTGTCATTGTCGCTATATTTACAGTTTATCTGACAATTGCTCCATTAATCGAAAACCCGGATATTTCTTACTTGTATGGTGGAATATTCATACTTTGTTCGCCGATTTTCTATTTCCTGTTTGTCTACAAAAAGCTTCGTCTGCCAGGAATGGATCACTTCACAATATTTTTGCAAAAATTTCTTGATGTTTCACCAACGGATTGGGAAGACAAGTTGGCAATAAATGCTTCTGATAAGAGTGAATAATTAGTGCATTGCACAGTGTACATTTTCATAAACATTGACATTAATAAACAGATATTGAACATACTTTTTAGTTTGTATGTGCTAACCTGGCTACTTATATGCATGCTTATGAACTATATTTCATTTCATTTTCAATTGTTCTGTGATTTCACTGATTTTGTATAAATGTGTATGATGATTTTGTCGTCTGGAATTCTTCAGATCATAAATCAAAATATTAGCGCTATGTTCAGTTTGCGTTTACGTTAACTTAAAGAATATCTTTCAGATGAAATAAATCCACGATATAGTTTTAGAGAGATTTCTGCTTATAAACTTAACTCTGATCCCACTTGTTAAAGTACCATAATAGGTAAAAAAACACTAATCTTTGTTGGTTATTGCATGAAACATTCATGCGAAAGCGAGGTAGTCAATTTGTACCCCGAAAGACGTGATGCGTCATTTTGTAAATGGATCTGTACACGAAATGTAAACAATCGTTACTTCGTTACTAAACGCATATTTTTGTCTAAGACTTGTTTACAACGTGGGGTGATTTTTCTCGTCAAAATGAAATATGATGTGTTAATATTTTATCTTGCATAAGATAATGGTAAACTTTATATTGAATCTGTATACAGTATATAAATTTATATGCAGCCTTCTACAGAATGTGACGCACCGAATTTTATATGATTGCAGAAAACAAATATACTTCATAAGGCCACATTACCTATGTACACAAACTAATGCCATTATTTCAATAAGGATAAAAAAGTGCTTCACAAATTAGAATTTCGAAAAAAGAAAACTTGGCATTGATGTTAATATTTGTTTGACAATAAACGCAAAATTTAGTTCAAATACTGCTGTCCAATTATGTCCTGAAAGTATTGTTCAAACAAACGATCTTTTAGCGTAGGAAGATAGATATAGCTAGAACATACCAGGCAACTATAGCAGTATTGGCAGAAGAAAAATTAATTTCAGAATCAGCAAATGAAATTTCCATTATTTCAAGATTTTAATCATTAAGAGACGAGATATTAAATGTCATTGAAAAAGAACGTTAAAGGTTCAACCTTAAATTAATATTTGTAACGATAGTTTAATTTTTTTAAATAACCAAAATTTTTAGGTCAAATTCATTTATGGAATCAGTTCCTATATATTCCGCGTGGAAAATCACAACAACAAAAAAACTCTATTCGGCAAAGTTTATCTTCTATACCCATATCATAGTTGTGCAGTTTCCGGTCATTATTTTCCAGAAAACTGATAGCTTTCACGAACTAAGGAGTTTGTCACATAAATAAGGAGTGGAAATAAAATCAATTTGCGATCCATGTGAATTATGAATAATAGAAAGGGTAAAACTACTATGTTAGTTCACTTATTGTTAGGATGGAATTGATCACACATATCTTATTATGTTTTTTGCAAAAATTCATGCCCATGCAGAAGTCCCCAAAAACACGACGGGTCACGGCTCTGTGGGCTCAGTATATTCTTTGTAATTGCTACCTAATATAAATAAATTACTTGTTCCTTGTTTTTAATAGTGTTTGAACTAAGAACTCTGATATTCTTTTATTTAGAAGATTACGTTTCTATTGGCAAGGCATGGAAATTCGAGCGGAAGCCGTGAATAATGCAGCTCATTCTGGTCCGAAAAACAGTCAACCCAAAGAAGTATTTGAATTGCAGAAAAAGATTGGATTATGGCGCGGGGTTTCTATTATTGCTGGGATTATGGTCGGTTCTGGCATCTTTTTGTCTCCCGTTGGTGTGCTGGCCGGTACCAATGGTAGTGTTGGAATGAGTTTAGTACTATGGGTTGTCTGTGGCTTATTCTCAGGTCTGGCGGCATTGTGTTATGCTGAACTCGGAACAACTGTTGTAGAATCTGGAGGTGACTTTGCATATTTTAATGCAGCTTATGGAGGACCCGTTGCTTTCGCCTTTTCTTCGGCTTATCTTTTTGTTATTTACTCGACGGGGAGTGCAGCTAAAGCCGTTGCGTTGGGAACATATATTGCTACACCTTTTTACAATGGAGAATGTGCTCCACCGACCACAGCTGTCAAGTTTGCGGGAGCCGCAGCCATTCTTGTGGTGACGTTCGTGAATTACTTCAGTGTTCGAAATGCTGCTAGAGTTCAGGTTGTATTCACCATTGCTAAATTTGTCGGGTTGGCGGCTATCATAATTGGTGGAATTACACGCCTGGCGGATGGAAACCCAGTTGCAAATTCTAATTTTGTGAATGCGTTTGATCCCAAAGCATTAGCCGGTCTCACTGCCACGCAGATTGGATTAGCATTCTATCAGGTATACAATTCTTTGTGCCGTTTTACTGTCAGTTAAGAAGTTCGACCATGCAAAACTTACATTGTCTTGTTAAGAAAATTACATACAGTTGTCTCGAAACTTGTTGTTAGTGTAAATGTACATTAACAGGGACTTTTTTCGTATGATGGATGGGCAAATTTGAATAGAGTGACAGAAGAAGTTAACGACGTGGGAAAAACTCTGCCAAGATGTATCATGATAGCCATCACTGGAGTGACTGCCTTTTATGTTCTTGTTAACATAGCTTATTTTTCAGGTAATTTTTCATTGTAAACTGAATCATGATAACTATAAATTGTTTTTGTGAAGATTTAAATATTTTTAGTGATGATTTTTTTATGGCGTCGAAAGTAAGCGATATTAATTACAACAATGCATAGAAATGTGGCCGTTAAAAATTGAATCGGTATGTCTTCATTGACATGTTGCTGACTAGCCAACGTCACGGAAATAGCATGTGCAATAAATAGCATGTATTCATTGGAATGAGGTCCATGGTTCCGAAAATATTTAGGTGTGTGATGGTCTCTAAACATTTAGTTCCGAAGTCACTTATCTGACCAAATATTGAGTAGATTTGACATTTTTCAGTTCTCACTCCTGAAAACATTCTGTCTTCAAAAGCAGTGGCTGTTACATTTGGGTATCGGGTTTTTGGATCTTTTGGTTGGATAATGCCATTGGCTGTGTGCCTTTCTATATTTGGATCACTGAACGGATCTTGTTTAACTGGTGGAAGAATTACATTTGCTGCAGCTAGGAGAGGGCACTTGCCTCAAGTAATCTGAAACGTGTTTATACCTTACTTGACAACAACATTCATTTATATATTTATTTTTATGAATCCACTTTTATTAGAATGAATAATTCTTATCGACTGGCAGTATCTCTATAAGATATTTAAAATATATTAGAGCTTAGTATAACAAGATTTTGCTCTGATAACGCATAATATGAGTGACAATAGTGACGAATATCATAAGTTTCAACTGCTGCAAGTCATGTAAAAACTCTTGGCAAGAAATGTATATGATTATTAAGATTAGATATTCAGCAAATTTATATTCTATCAACATAAACTTTAATTCTTTTTTTTCATAAAATTTGCAGCCGTTTTTCTTTAATAATAAATGGCAGAATATTGATCATTATTTTTTAGATATTTTCTATGATTCACGTCGAGCATATTACTCCGGGACCATCTCTCCTTATTCATAACTTACTCGTTTTAATAATGCTTATACCTGGTGATTTTGACACTCTTCTCAACTCTATGAGTTTTGCAACTTGGATATTTTATGGTTTGGGTGCCGTCGGAGTTCTTGTTCTACGAAAAACAAGACCTGACTTGCCAAGGCCTTACAAGGTTACATAAATATTTTTTTAGATTTAAATCTTACTTTTTGAAGTGCTCACTCAAACTTTATATCTATATCAAATATGGTGTAAATAAATAGTTACATGATTAAATACACTTCAACACCATATACTAGTCTTGGTTGAAAGGACTAAATGTTTGAGTTTTAAATTATAGTAAATTTTGGGACCTCCTGAAGTATGCGCACCAAGATGGCGCATAACCTGAACTCAGGTTATGTACTAGGTTAGGGTTCCGGTTGTGCGACATCTTGGTGCGCATACTTCAGGAGTACCAAATTTTGTACTGTCCATGTATTTGCCTTGAATGAATAAAAGATTTTACATATACTTATACAAGAAAATTTGAGAAATCCAAAGTACAAACTTCTTGAAAAATAACAAAACATAAAATCATCAAGAGTCCAAATGTTGTAATTTATTTAACAGGTTCCTGTTGTTATACCTGTCATTGTCGCTATATTTACAGTTTATCTGACAATTGTTCCATTAATCGAAAACCCGGATATTTCTTACTTGTATGGTGGAATATTCATACTTTGTTCGCCGATTTTCTATTTCCTGTTTGTCTACAAAAAACTTCGTCTGCCAGGAATGGATCACTTCACAATATTTTTGCAAAAATTTCTTGATGTTTCACCAACGGATTGGGAAGACAAGTTGGCAATAAATGCTTCTGATAAGAGTGAATAATTAGTACATCGCACAATGTACATTTTCATAAACATTGACATTAATAAACAGATATTAAACATACTTTTTAGTTTGTATGTGCTAACTTGGCTACTTATATGCTAATGAACTGTTTTTTATTTCACTTTCAATTGTTCTGTGATTCCACTGATTTTGTATAAATGTGTATGATGATTTTGTCGTCTGGAATTCTTCAGATCATAAATCAAAATATTGGCGCTATGTTCAGTTTGCGTTTACGTTAACTTAAAGAATATCTTTCAGATGAAATAAATCCACGATATAGTTTTAGAGAGATTTCTGCTTATAAACTTAACTCTGATCCCACTTGTTAAAGTACCATAATAGGTAAAAAACACTAATCTTTGTTGGTTATTGCATGAAACATTCATGCGAAAGCGAGGTAGTCAATTTGTACCCCGAAAGACATGATGCGTCAATATGCACATGAATCTGTGAACGAAATGTAAAAAATTCATCCTTTGTTACTAAACGCATATTTTTGTCCAAGACTTGTTTACAACGTGAGGTGATTTTTCTCGTCAGAATGAAATATGATGTGTGAACTTTTTATCTTGCATAGATAATGGTAAACTTTATATTGAATCTGTATACAGTATATAAGTTTATATGCAGCCCTCTACAAAATGTGACGCACTGAATTTTATATAATTGCCGAAAACAAATATACTTTATAAGGCCACATTACCTATGTGTACAAACTAATGCCATCATTTCAATAAGGATAAAAAAAGAGCTTCACAAAATAGACTTTCGACAAAAAACATTCGGCATTGATGTTAATATTTGTTTAACAATAAACGCATTCTTCATATCAGATTCTGGTGTCCAAATATGTCCTAAAAGTATTGTCCAAACAAACGAGTTTCTAACGTCAGAAGATCAATATAGCTAAAACAGGGGTGGGCAACCTTTTTCGGCTCGCGTGTCAAAATCGGCTAAATTTAACGACAAATTCTCCCGCGTGCCGACCAAAATTAAAAACAACGCTTCGCTACTTTCAAAGCAAAAATACACAATAATAAACCTTTTGAACATATACAGACAGATTCACTATTCGGGAAAATATAAGTCCGACAATTAGATTTGATTACTAATCTTATTCAAATCAGTGAGCCCTTTGCTGCTGTATTTACCACTGATAGAGATGTTACATTGAATTTATATTTTGTAACTCTCAAAGAAACACACGAACTATTGGTTTCATCTTTCAGTCTACACCGGTTACAAGATTTGATAAAGTTCATAACTGAGAACAGAGATTCACAAGCATATGTAGATGAAACATGGAAAGTAATGCGGTTGCAAAGTTTTTAAGACACAAAAATCGGGCATGGCATCCCAATCACGCAATAGTTCGTTTTCTGTACTCTTCCCTCTTGCATTCCCTTCCCTAATCGCTCATATTTATTTCGAAGTCAATTTATACCAGTAAGTTAACAAGTAACTCTAATCAACATGAGCTGTACAACTTCATAAATCAAGCAGAAATGAAAAAAAGGGTGGCACAGACGAACTATATTACGTAAGAATGTAGCCAAGTGAATGCTGCGCCCTTCTCGACAAAATTTTTCGAGAGCTCACTCATTTGTTACGTCATAATATATTTCTTTGTATCCATATGTCATGAAAGGACAAAAAGAGTTTAAATAAATTACAGATTGTTAACCAACGATATATAATGAATAAACGAACACCGAGTTTCAGCAGATAATCCAGAGTCTTGAAACCTTTTATCTGAAGAAGTATGATCTCGTTTCTGAGGCTTCGCTCGCGTGCCGCATAAATGGGCTCGCGTGCCAACAAGGGAAGCCACCCCTGAGGTAGAACTTATCAAGTAACTATAGCAGTATTGGCAAAAAGAAAACTAGTTTTCAGAATCATCAGATTACACTCATACTATGTTCAGGTTGTGCGCCATCCTGGTGCGCATACTTCTGGAAGTCCAAATGTTCTGTATTTTAAGTTTTTAATTATTGAGAGACAAGATATTCCTAGCAAAAATACCGAAAGAACTGAAAAAGTCAATATAAGGTTTAAATAAAAAAAATTATTATTATTTTTCCAGAAAACTGATAGCTTCCATGGGCTACAGAGTTTTTCAATTTGCGATTCAATATTTATCATGAATAAAAGAAGAATAGTATATTATATATAGTAAACAAAATGCGACTTGTAAGCAACATGCCTTCGTCTATTATACCGGAGTCAAGGCCGCGGCAAAAAAAGTTTGAAATGAAAAAGAAGATAGGATTATGGCGTGGGGTTTCCATCATTGCCAGAATTATTGTTGGCGCCGGTTTATTTATATCTCCTACTGGCGTGTTGGCAGGAACCAACGGTAGCGTTGGCTCGAGCCTTGCGTTCTGGGTAGTATGTGGTTCTCCGGCATGGCATCATTATGCTATGCAGAACTCGGAACGACAATTGTGGAATCAGGAGACGAATTTGCGTACTTCAATGCAGCCTATGGAGGACCGGTGGCTTTCGCATTTTCCTCATCGTATTGTTTGTCATATATTCGACTGGTATGGCAGCTAGTTCAATAGCTCTGAGAACATACATTGCAAAACCCTTCTACAGTGAAGATTGTGTTATTCTCACAATAGCTGTCAAATTTGCCGCTGCAGCATCGCTTCTTATTGTAGCATTTATGAATTACATCAGCGTTCGATCAGCCACAAGAATGAAAGTCATGTTCACCGCATCGAAATTTATTGCATTGGCAGCAATTATAGTTGGTGGTTTTATGCGCCTGGGAATTGGAAATTCTGTTGTCACTTCTAACTTTATCAACGCCTTTGATGGGACGGATCTGACTGGACCTACAGTAACTCGAATTGGTGTAACTTTTTCTCAGGTAAACAGGGATAATTTCAATCTATTTTAACTTCATTTATGGAATTGAGAAAAGAAATTTATTTTCTAAATCTATATGCAATGATAGGGTCTGTTCCCGTACAGTGGATGGGATTATTTGAACAGATCATTAGAAGAAGTTAGTGATGTCGCAACACCCCACCAAGATGTATCATATTAGCAATGACCGCAGTGACTGTTTTCTATGTTCTTGTGAATGTTGCTTAAAATTTTTTTTAATAATTTTGCACAACATCAAATCTTCATTAAACTAAAGGGGGAAATTAAATATGTTGCATTGTGCAGTAGAACTTTTTAAAAGAGAACGACGCAGCTTATGTAACAAAAATATTAGAATCTGTGTACATCTTAAAATTAAGTTTAATGATATTTAAAAAAGGAACGAAAATATATTAATCAGTTTTATGTGACAATATTTCTTTGGCGATATATATAACTGATATCATGAGGCACTAACGTCAGAATGATATTTTCCAGAAGTACTCCATATATATTTATAGTTTGTAATACCGTATACTATTAACATTATGATGGAATATTTTTTTCGTAGGAAAATCAAAGTTATTGCATTGGTAAAAAACTTATAGATGCATTTGGCGTTTAATATTTTACTATATATATCCAAATTACAAAAAAAAACAAGCATTAGTACTTTTGCTACTCCTACAGTTCTGACTCCTGACGAAATATTATTTTCAAAAGCTGTAGCTGTAACATTTGGAGTTCGTGTGTGTAAATCTTTCAGGTGGATCATTCTATTAGCAGTCTGTCTTTTGATATTTGGTTCACTGAACGGAGCTTGTCTTGCTAGTTTTAGAATAGCTTTTGCTGCAGCCAGGAAAGGACCTAGCGTAAGGCAATTTCAACGCAACTTTCTGACTGGATTTAAATTGGATTTAATGATGAATATGAGTATTACTTTATTCTACTTTTTGTTTCAGATATTTTCCATGGTTCATGTAGATCACTACACCAGGACCTTCACCCCCTATATATTCACTTGCACTGGGTGTGCTTATTCCAGGAATTTTTGACATCCTACTCGTTGCAATGAGTTTTACTGGTTGGATATTTATTGGACTCTGGGCAGTCGGCGTATTGCTGCTACTGAAAGGCCTGATCTTCCAAGACCCTACAAAGTAAACATATACTTATTTATTGACGTTTCTGTACTCAATTACCAGTAATGGATCACTCTTATGTAAAGGATCTGTATGATTTTTAGATTTTGATGAAACATATCTAGTGGGAAGTCGAAGTCGAAGACCAAGAGATTAAGGACATGGACCTCACAAAATACTACAGCATGAATATTTTGAACAATTGTGAACCTGTAATAAATATTTGCCAACAAATAATATCAATATTCGATAAATCATAAAGCTAAAATATATCGGATGGTTTTAATAGATGTAAACCATCCTTATTGCCTCTTAATTATTGTGGATTTGTGGGTAAATAAATTTCAAAACACAGAGCCAAATTATTGCTAAGCTGAAGTAAAAAAAAATAGTAAGAGAAGCTTAATTATATATATCTTTTATTTTGTAGGTTCCTATCGTTATTCCTGTTATTGTCTCAGTTTTTGCTGTCTATCTCACGGTCGCTCCTATGATCAACAATCCGGATGTTTCGTTCCTGCGCGGAGAAATTTTCATCATTTGTACACCAGTATTGTATTTTACATTTGTGTACAAAAAGGTTCGACTACCAGGAATGGACAATATTACTATGTTTATGCAAACATTTCTCAATGTCCCACCAACAGATTGAGAAGACAACCTATCGAAGAATTATTTCGATACAAGCGATTGATTATCAAATCGCGTTCCAATAATCACTCACAAATCCTGAATGTTTTGTCGTGGAGTCAATCGACAAATTACACAAACTGTTTAGCTGTCTTGAATTACAGCGTTTCGTAACTTGATGAAATTTTTGCTTTTTGGTTTATATCCAGTTTGAATAAAAAAAATTTGTCAATCATCTAATTTCAATATTGAAAAAAAAAACATGGTTGCAACAGTAAACACCACATAATATTATGATTTGTTTAGGATGCTTAGGGATATGCAGGGATATGCTTAGTTTACATTACGTCTAAGAAAAATGGTTAGCAAACTAGTTGCAATATTAACCATGAGTTTAGTTCAGATTTGATGTTTGGTATATTTTGTAGAAAGGCCCCGCCACTAATGCAAAAATGGGAGTTGGGAAAAACAGTCCCGCCACGTTTTAAAATAACAAATTAGTATAATTACCCAGTTGGGGTTAATTTTCTTATTTTGAGCTTTGGCGGGGATGTTTATTCGGTAGGTTTGTACGAAAGATCCGGTGTTTGTGTCAAATGCAGATACGTGTATAGCATTAAAAGATCAAGATTATAAGATTACCAACTAGCAATTTCAGTCCATGGTGGCTTCAAATGCACTAGTCTTAAGACAATCGGAGTCATCGTTCAATTAAGCCAAATCCTCAATATAGACATCAAGTCAAATGTAGCTGTGCATCAGTTGTGAATTCGGCACCATTCTACCCCAGTCGTTCTGCAAAAGCACATTGAGGGAAATAATTATAAATCGGAAAATCCGTTTTTGTGATTTTGGTAAGGACATTTGTCTATGACTTGGATGATTCAAGTAACTCACTTTATTGAAAGTCGAGTCAGTATATCTTTGTACCCAAAATGTCTCTCAAAATCTGTAACATGGCGACAACGCATTTTTTAAGCAGGCGGTAATTTATGACGTAGATAGACAAACATGCCGGCTTAAATAAATATTTGCCATATGTAGTTTTGCATTGTCATACTTGTTTAGTTGACTCACTCAATACAGACTATTATAAAACTAAAATTAGGATGTATTCTATTGCTAGGCAAGCAGGTTATCGTATTCGAGTGAAGCGAACAATATTGAAAAAGCTCATAGAATTCATTTTATGTACATTTAGAAACTAAAATGTTTTAATTTAAATTGTCATTATTCTCTTATTCAGAGTAAACCACAGTATTATGGACGATTCAAATTCATTAGAAGATGACGTAGATTCACTCGATGTGAAATCCACACCATCATCAGAGACCTTCGAATTGAAGAAAAAAATCGGAATATGGCGGGGTGTTTCGATCATTGCCGGTGTTATGGTAGGATCAGGTATATTTGTTTCACCTGTTGGCGTATTAGAAGGAACAAACGGCAGTGTCGGATTGAGTCTCGTTCTGTGGATAGCATGTGGATTGTTTTCCGGACTTGCGGCATTGTGTTATGCTGAACTCGGAACTACCATTGTGGAATCCGGAGGGGAGTTTGCTTACATGAATGCCGCTTATGGAGGATCCATTGCTTTCGCCTTTTCTGCCTCGTATGTTTTCATTTTATATTCTACCGGAAATGCTGCAAAAGCTGTGGTGTTGGGTACCTACATTGCAACGCCTTTTTATGAAGGCGATTGTGCACCGCCAGTGGTGGTTGTCAAATGCTCTGCAGCGGCAGTAGTTCTCATTGTAACTTTAATCAACTACGTCAGCGTCAGGGCGGCGGCAAGAGTGCAAGTCGTCTTCACAGCAGCAAAGTTTATTGGATTGGCAGCCATTATTATCGGAGGATTGACGAGATTGGGAATGGGAGACCCTATTGGGATATCGAACTTCAAAAACGCGTTTGATAAGGAAACCATGGCTGGAATTACTGCAAGCCAAATAGGGCTTGCATTTTATCAAGTGTGTACATATATATATATATATATATATTTCTATAATTGATGATTATGGGTTAACTAACTTTTTGGGATAGATAATTATGCTGTTTCACGGCATTAGAGGAAAAGCATGCTAGCGTGACACTGATTAATATAGTACTCGAGTCCCAATAGAAGCTGTTTTATTCTTGTCTACTAATAACTAAATATAAATCTTTTTTTTCTTATATATTTCGTGAAGTTCATAACGCCCAATTTTCTTTATATGCTGAATTACCTTATTGAGATTGAACTATATCATTTATTGAAACCATTATTATTTTGTCACTAACAGGGCTTATTCTCATATGATGGGTGGGCAAATCTTAACAGAGTAACTGAAGAAGTTAAAGATCCAAACAAGACACTACCAAGATGCATAATCATAGCAGTAACCGGCGTTACTGTTTTTTACGTTTTGGTGAATGTTGCATATTTTTCAGGTATCAAATCATTAACGCTTTTGAATCTGATTTTTTTTCTGTTTCCGTCGAAGTTGCATCTTGTTCGTATTTATTGCAGCGCCCATAGATTAATAAGAGTTGATATGAAAAGTCACATGTACTTTAAGTCATGTCATGGCTGAGAGGAGGTGTGACTGTGTGTATTCTGGTTGTAAATCATGTAGTGTATTTTTGAATATGATAACTTGTTGCGAATATGATAAATCTCCCATCCATACGTTATATATTAGGCACATTTAGATTTTAGGTGCTACCAGCGTTTAATGACAAATTATTGGATGTGATTTTCCAAAAAAAAATTGTCGTTTGCAGTGCTAACACCAAGGGAAATATTATCCTCAAAAGCTGTGGCTATTACATTTGGAGATCGTGTATTCGGAGCGTTTTCTTGGACCATGCCTCTTGTAGTGTGTTTGTCAATATTTGGATCTCTGAACGGTTCTTGTCTAGTCAGTGCGAGAATTGGCTTTGCTGCAGCAAGGAGGCGACATTTACCGCAAGTAATGTTTTTACTTCTAGACGTTTCCGTTCTAAATTATGAAAAATAGATTAAAAACCCAACACTAATTTCAATTTTAGATATAAATCCCACAACCTCTCATACTTTTCATGGCAATCATGTTTATTATTTTAGATATTTTCAATGATTCATGTGGACCATCTCACCCCGGGCCCAGCGATTCTTCTAGTAAATGTGTTCGTCTTAATACTTCTTATACCTGGAGATTTTGACTCTCTTCTAAATGCCATGAGTTTCACATCTTGGATATTTTATGGACTTGGCGCCGCGGGAGTTCTCGTTCTGCGAAAAACAAGGCCCGATCTTCCAAGACCCTATAAGGTATTTTGAATTCGTGAAGTCGAATTCACACTTGTTTAATGAGTTGCGGGGTTTATTGATATAAAATGACACCAGTCTTAGGAATTTCCACTCTCTTAATTTCCCACTGCAGTGCAGTATTACTAAAAATCAAAGCGGTACGTCTGCTTTCTTGTAACTGGCTCGTGGATCTGGTAGATTATAAAACTTATTTTACAACAAAATTCTATGAAAGAAACCTTAAAACTATTTAAAACATTTCAGATGAGGCAAAAAAAGTATAAAGCATTGCCATTTTATTAGATTGTGAATATCTAAAATATATATATTTCTATTTCGAAGGTTCCACTGGTCATTCCGGTAATCGTTACAATATTTGCCATCTACCTAACGGTTGCACCTATGATCGACAGTCCAGATTTTGCATGGTTATATGGCGGTATCTTTCTTTTATGTACTCCTCTGTTTTATTATCCTCTTGTTTATAAAAATATCCGTGTTCCTGGAATGGATTCTATAACCATATTCTTACAAAAATTTCTGAATGTTTCTCCAACAGATTGGGAGGATACATTAGCGATTGATTCTAGTAAGGAAGATTAATACTGAAATCAATAACGTGGCTTCATTTTCAATATTCAAAAATTATAATTTCATATATATGTTGTAACAGTTTTCTGAATATTCGAAATGCATGACATGAATTATTCAAAGTTTATCCTAACATGTTTAGTTTTCACTTAGTTTTCGAGCCCATGATATCCAAGCCTTTGGCCTAACTGAGTGCAAAGTTGCGCGTTCGATGCCGTGAGTACGAAAAATGGAAAAGTCATGCGCCTGTCCCGCCGACTTCATTGGGGCAAAGTCGGCGGCGTAAAAATTGAGATTCGAGCACTTGCTCAGAATTTGTCACTCAGATAGATTTTTAAATATGGTTGTAAACATTGTCCCGATTTCCTAGTTTTAAATGTTATTTGTCATCTTTAGTGTAGATTTAAAACAAATGCCGCAGTCATTTCGTCTTGGAAGAGTTTTCGTTTAGTTTCAGTAATCAAAAAATGATCAAGAAAAAAGTCGGTTCAGGTCAAGATTCAGGAAAACGTCCGTTAATTATGGATACCTGTCATTGCTAATATTACGAGGATGCTTTATGGCAGAAATTTCTCTTTCCAAACCATTGGTTTCCCCCGACTTTAGTTCTTCGGTATATAGGTGGCGATACGTACAAGCATGCCAAAAACTGTCACCTGCTCAAATATCAAAATTTTGATTTGACGGAAATTTCCCTACCATGGTGGCCGTGGCTGTGGTACCCAGCCTACGGGATCCTCCGCCAAAAGCCGTTTGGCGAGCTGTATTGGCGATTATCAAAACCACATATATATCATTGTTGTTGTTAGTCTTGTTGCTTGTGTGACTGTCTTTGTTGTTGCTGTTTTATTTTATTTTCAATGGGGAGGGACATTATTTTATTCCGTCACGCATGAACGCCCCCGTCACACTTGTCAGTTGTTTTGTTCGGCGAACTTTACCTTATCGCATACGCAAACACAATATTTGTCAGTAAAATGAGATCGTCTGGGAGTAAGACGATGAGAATAGTGCCATTTCATCCTGAGCTGTGCTCTTTGACGTATAGTTATTTGACTTTCGTGTTTATATATTTGATCGTTGCCCGCTTGTTTGACATCATATCTGCGATTGATTTTATATAATAGGCCGTAACTACTCATGGCGTGTTGACATAATATTGTGTCCTTGTCAACTTTTCGGCACACGCTGATCCTAGTTGGAGAATGAGTTGAACATTGCTGTGTGCATACGTGTATACTCAAGGAGAAATGTACAAACAATGAAGCGCAATAGATTGCATGATATTAAATGCAAATATGTACTACATACAAACTACGTTTTAATCTTATGTCGAAGTACCGTATTTATAATAGAGCACAGTCAATATTTCCCCATAAAGGGTAAAATATTGGGGTTAGTTGAAATATTTTTATGTCGAAATAAATGGAAGCCACATGCTACAAAGGAATATTGAATAATGCTAGCGTGATTATTTCACCTTATACGCATTCAGGGTGATTGTGAAGTAACCCAACCTAAGACAATAAAAGCTTTGTATATATATTTTGCATTTATTTAGATACAAGACATACCAGAATACCGTTTTAATTTGTTTCTGCTTAGAATATACCAAAATTCTGATTTGAATTGTGTGGTATTTGTACGAAATACAAAAGTTAAAATGTCTTTAGACAAAATTAATAACGTATTAGACCAACATACATGTTTTACTTAATACATTGAAGCGTTTGTTCATATTATTTCTGCTTAGAATATACCAGAATTCTGATTTGGATTGGCTGGTATTTGAACAACATACAAAAGTTAAAATGTTCCTAAACAAAATTAGTAACGTCTTAGACCAGCACATATGCTTTACTAAATACATTGAAGCAAATATTACTAAATTGATCGTAAATCTTCATTTAAAATGTTATAATGACCAAAACATATTTGTATATAAATTAATGATTATAATAAAATGAAATATACTTAGTGTCATGGCACATAACTCACTTTTATTTGGTGGAATATAATATAAATTTTATAGTACAAAGAACTTTGGAACTGCGCAAAAATTAATTAAGGAAAAATTGGGATGGATTCGAGATATAACAAAGTAGGACGACCAATTCAGGGCGTAAGCTGCCTTTAACAATACATATTTAGATTTGAGCATCAATGTGATAAAAATGCCAAAGCATTAATGTTAAATATGATAAACCGGTTTTATGAGCGCATGAGAGTTGTAAAATAAATTCTTATTTAGAGTTCAATGTTTTAATAAATAAATCAAAGACCCGTGTCAACAAATAATGGAGCATATATATTGCTTGGATGTATTATGCAATATAACAGCTGAAATCATAACATTTTTAAAAAACAAAAACAAAATTATCTAAATACAATAATCTGCGCTAGGGGAATAAATTCGCCCTAGAGACAAGAATGACCTACTCTTATTGTATTATTGGAAGATACTCTGTAATATTATGATAAAAATTAGATTAGGTTATATACAATGTTTCATTCAAGCGTTGACTGGTAAGTTGCAAAACTAAGTACATAAGAAGATAATAATTTTTCATCTCATCCAGTGAGATGGCAAAGCGGAGGATGTAAAGTTCATGTTCACCAAATTTATAAAATTAGTAAATCCTTTCGCTGAGATTTAAGTGGATGATCATTGACTGTATACCTTTAAATATTTTCGGATTGCTATTTGATTTCCATTCTAATGAGTCTATGACTTCAAATTCATGTTTATTATTTTATTTAAATTAATATACATAACTTCTTGCACTTAAAAAATTTCTGAATGTTTGTTCTTGAATTTCAGTTTTATTGTGACATTGTAGTTTGGAAAGAAGCTTTGAAAAACATGTGAGATCCTGAAATTAAAATAAAGAAAAATAATTAAGAAATATATGTAACTTATTTTGTCTATTTTATCCGTTGTGTTTTTTTTTTGAACCCTTTTTCATCAAATCGATTTTCGTTCAAATATAACGGAAGGCGGGTATATAAAAATTAAATTAAATTAATTGCAAACAAATTCCTATGTTTTTGTAGAAATAAGATAACTATAGATAGTTTTTACATTGTGAACAATTGTACTCGTCTTCAAAATTATGTTCACATTTCACTTAATACCAGAATGCAATGCCAAATATTAGTTTTCTCGACTCTGCACTACTACTTTAAATATGGTTTATTGTCTTTTTTTGAACGAAACAGCAAAAATCCACTAAGAAATGAGTCGAAATATATTGTATGCAAATCCTTACCAGGATGAGCTGACTGCAGTGGTAGATCTTTTTTCTGAGATATTCCTTTCACACTTAGTTCTTGTCCTTAAAACGGTAATTGGACCAATAAAAACTAAAATTCTTTGTGAAAATTCTCAACTGAATTTTATTTTGTATTATAAATAAGTCAGGAAATCCTCATATTTTCATAATATTGAAAATTGACGATATTAAAAATCTCACCTGTTAATGTTGGCGAGGGAGAATCTCTAACAGATTGTATCAAAGTATTCTTGTTATTGTTATTATTGGAGCTTGAGATATTCATGAACTGACGTGATGAGAATGGCCCGCATTCTCTTGAGATTAAATGGGACGTATCATTTGACATACTCGATGGTGAGGCTATTAAAATATGGTAATTGTGTTAATGTAATTTTGCAATCTAATTAGTCTAAACATAGCGTACTAAGACTATGAATATGTGATTATTACACCTATATTTATCAGGGTTGTTGCATATTTTGTACTTAAATGATTTTATTATGGTAGATAATATATTATCACATTATCTGTGTTAAAGTATTGTCTATATCTGATTAGAATCAGATTGGATTGGAAATAGATGCCGTTAATGTATATCAAATTTTAATGTATCATGAGCTTTATATAAGATTAAAAACATGAAATTGCATTTTAATTACCTTCTGAAATAGTTTGTGCGATTGGACTTGAATTGCAGTCAGTTTCGGCTGTCAAAGGACTGGATACTTGCTCACAACTAGAGAATTCATTACACAAATATTTCTGACTTTGAGGCAGTGATTCAGATTGTGGTTCAGATGTATCTCTCTCCATACCAATGACGCCCCGGATTGGTATACTCGGCGCTGATGCAATCCCGTCGTGTTTTTCGCCTATTAAGTGCAAAGTCATATGATAAAACCACCATCTGCTTGCATTTGAAGCCAGGTGATTCAGTTTAGGAATTTAAAAAGGTCTAGTTTGATTAAAGGTTGTGTAATCAGGTAATGCCTCTTGCTCGTTTTGTGTAAGAGCCCATGTACCCACGTAGTCGCCAGGTGGCGCTGTTTAATTACGGTAATACGTGACATTTTTGACCGGGTTATCAAAACGGTGTGTGTTCCAATTGTACTCATTATACTTATATTTTCGAACAATTTTTTGATATTACAATCGTAATCAGCTTTCACGACAGTTATATCAACAGCCAACGATATTTTTTGTCCTTCCTTTAAAAGAGATTATCAACAAAATAAAGATTCGAATGCAAACTATATTGGACTGAATAACAAAAGCGAAGCAATTTAATAGGTACTATATTTGTAGATCTGCACCTATTCAGTTCACTTTAGCCAATACAAAAGTAACGAAATACCAAGGTGGGAAATCTCATATAAATATCAATCGAATGATGGATTCAAAGGTCAAAATGTTGAACGTCAATATGTAAAATTTTCAATGCTGATAAAAACTCGAATTAGCAAGTTCTACTCTTAATCATACTTTTACGTTTTTATTTATTTGCTACTGATGTTATCTATAACACGTTCTTGGAAAAACATTATCAGAAATGCGCTTTGAGGTTGTACAAGAATTTTTGTTCTTCTATAAGCAGGCTTGTAAATAAATGCCATTGAAGCAAAATAAAATACGTGTTATAATTCAAGTTACTGCTGTAATTCATACAAATATTGATATCAAATCGTGACTTCGGCAGACGGAAACATGTTTTTGTGGGAGCTTAGACGGATATGATATTGTCTGTTTATATTATTCACCCAAATAAGAGTTTCTTATTTATGTTATAACCCGCAGATAATTCCCGCACCCGATCGACGACGATTTCATTTTTTTATTAATATATTTACAATGGGGGGTATGCGATATAAGAATTGTTTCGTTACCCATTAATTCATAGATTTTGTATGTAATATTTTACCCTTTTAGATTCGAAGAAGACTCAAAGCAAAAGTATCCTACGACTCTCCTACGATTGGTTGTAGGTCTGAGCAGACTGCATTCTAGATAACAGTCTTTAGTCGGTAGTTTTAAGAAAAATTTTATAAAAGTAGGAGAAGAATAAAGTTGAAACTTTATTATTTAGCATGATTACTTTGATATAATACTATTCGGTTCAAACATATCAACAAATGCGAAAAAAACAAGTATACTATGTCAAGAATTTCAGTGTTTATAGTTCATTTCACATTGATAATGACGACACCTAATTGTAACTGGTACCAAATATTTCCAAATTGAAAAACAATCTTTTATTTGATTGCCTCAGGCCTAGTCATTTACTTATATTGTATTTTGAGAAATTTCCGTAAATATAATGATTCTTAATTGTAATCGAACATTTGGATACTGACAAAATTGTCGACAGAAGACCTGCCATACGATTGTATTATTTTAAGAGCCTGATATTGTTAACTACGTTGAGGTAACATCGGAAAATTTGAAATACTCGGAACCGCGTTTATTATTCTTACTTTTTTACTTTATACCATTGTATATCATTGTTTAAATATTTATCGAAATTATTTTTAAATTTCTTTTCTGTATGAAATTAAAAAGTATACGAGTAATCTGATTATCAAATCAATAAACGTAATCACATGGGCGCGCCGCTTCTGGCATAATAAATAAATACTCAACCGAAATAACCACATATATTATTTCGCAGAAGTCGAAGTATTTTTCTATAAATTAGTCTAGAAACAATTTAGAGCTTTTCATTGGTCAAATGGATGATAAATACAGTATTAATATCAACGAATAGGCAACACAGGAACATATCTAAGCTCATATCACGCACGAGGCTTGACATATAATAATTATTGAATATTAAAATCTAATTGTTTCCAAAAACAAATTCCATTGGCCGTGGAAACGAAAAATGGCGTATAAATGTCAAATCGCTACAAAATAGATTTTCAATGACAATTTCATTAGAAAGATGATGGAAGTCATCTAAATCTCATGGACGAATGCTATTTATACTAGCGCAAGACTTGATGCAATATCGCGAAATATTTCTATAGCAGTTGAATAACTGTTTCTTATTTCTAAGATATATTCTATCTTGTAAGTTACCACAAAATCTTACTTTGCCTGTTGTCAATCTTTTGCTGCATTGTTATAAGTTGTTCTTGAAGCAGCTTCCTAACTTTCCGTTCTTTCTTCAGTCTTCGTTGCATCAGAACTGAAAATAACAATAACTGAACTGAAATATATTAAATATTGACCGATTTTAATATTCGAAGTCTTAAAAAGGTGAGAATCTGAATATATTTGAGTTTATATCTGAATATCTGCTGTGATATGGCAAAAGTCCAATATATTTGTATTTGTACTATATGTCAAGTATTTATGCTGTTTTGCAGTTGTCTTATAGTGAAAATAAAGGTGGAAAAAACTTTGAAGTTATTACAATTTACCCCGAATTCGTTCGCTTTCTTCGAGTTTCTGTTCAACACTTCCTCTTATTTCTTTTTCGTGATTTATTCTGTTTTTCAGATCCGCTGTGTGAATAAAACGAGAAAATTTATTCTATTCTTGTAAGATATTTGAGATTACAAAAACCTATTTGAATCTCTTTCAAGCGTCCATTTTTGATTATGTAGCATAATTTGTTTCCACGTATATGTTTTGTTAGCTAATAATAAAAAGCCGGTAGCCATCAAAGTGAGCAAAGCATGGAAATAAAAAAAAATAGTTACGAAATAGAGTGATTGATCGAAATAATAATGTCTCCTGCTAGTTTTATTGTGAGAATCAAGAGCATATTATGTAGTACTCTTACCCATTTCAAAAGAACTATGTTTCTCCTGCAACTTGGCATTGTCAGCAGCAACCTTAAGTAATCCTTGAATATTTGTTAGCAATGTTTGCATCGATGATATGTTTCCTTGACTAGCAAGGACTTGCGTTATTCCAGTAGCGAGAAGTGAATTAGTGGCCTTTTTGGTATCGCTGTTGTTTTGAGTCACATCATCCACATCAAATCGTTCTTCCTGATTTTCATGGCGAGACGTAATACCTGCATCACTACCTTCCTTTTTCGTCGAAGAAGGAAAATCCTTTATCAACGATTCTTCGTTATCTGTATGTTGATAAAATGTGGAATATGAAGATTATGTGAAGAAATTCACTCAAACTTTTGGTGAGGAATTTGGTAAAACAACTCGCTTTCAATTTTTTATTTCCTAATCCGGTCACGAACACTCTTGAATAGATTAGAAGATTGTGCACCACTTTAACAAGCAATAATCATGGGACCCGTCAACCAAGCTCTATTTCCCTCCTTAGAAGACAATTAGGACTTACTGCGCCTATTATTCTAACATCTCAATGCGAATCGAAGATATTAGTACGTTCGTTACTTGTATATCTTATAAATTTGATAGATTTCCCACAAATAAATTGCAGTAACGAGCACAGATGTGCGATCATTGACTCGTATTTCAAACTTTCACAACATCACTCCGGCAATATAAGAATAGTAATAAACAGAAGAAACCACGATGGAAAGAAAAAAAACAATAAACTTTGCAGATGAAGGTCGATACACCGAGGAAAAGATTAAAACACGCAGTGTCAGATTAAAGTATAGATCGTTGTTGACAAATTTTCATCTTGATTTCGGAGAAAATTACGAAGCGTGAGAAACTCATTTTGAAACAGATATTTACAAGTTCCCAAATTTATGAGTACTAATGACCCTCAAACCCAATAACTTGACAGACAAACAAACGGAAAAGAACAACATTCTTAGCGAATATTTTCTCCAATCAAGTAACTAATCCACTTACGCTATTTTTAAGTATATGCTCAGCTAATTTGCGATCAGAGGCGCCGCATAAATAGTCGTATTTACCCATTACTGCGGTGGCATACCAACAAAACAACAAAGGGTACATTTAAAATCACAAGAATTTGAATTTATATATTGTTGTATAATTTTGCTTGTAAAATTTGAAGACGCCTAATCGAACTTAAACGCAAATGAACGCATGATCAATTGAGCTAGCGTGTGTCATGTTTTAGCATGGTATTTATAAAGAAGCGTTGAAATTTAGTCATGCGGTCTAAGACACTCACCCCTTTCACCGCATGAGGTTTTAAGCGTGGTCAGTTTTTTGTTTTTTTTTAAATACTTGTCGCAACAAACACTTTGACTAAATTTACCTTTGATATTTTTATCATTTACATATAGTTTTATTTAGAATATTTATTTGTAGTGTGTACTTTGTTTTCGATAAAGGATCGAATTGGATTGATGTTCGAATCCCTGATTTTTTTTTGTAATTCCGTCGAGAGATATAATCGCTCCTTATCAGCATATCGTCTCTCTTCGCTGCGTGCTCATAAGGATAAAAATGGACGCATTAGAACTCTCATCATTTTTCAAAATGCTATTATTCTCCCAACCTTAAAAATGGCTTATTTTCGAGAGTAAAGATTTTACTGCAAGAGAAACTTATTTTTCGTGTTTTCGCCTAAAATATTAACCTTCAAAGAATTTTACTGAATCTCTGCTGTCTGAATTCCCAGATAAGCTTCCGTTGCTAAAATTTTCATCTTCAAGAGGAGAGCTTATACTGCTTACTGGCGATACTCGTCCTTCGCTATCAATACCATTCATGGAATCCGACTGGGCATTTTGAAATATACTGCTAGTGAATCTGTGTGAAATTAAAATCAATAACTGTAATTCATAAAATAGGTGAGAAAATAGACAATGTTTACAATTCCCAATCTGGGCCATACTAACGGTTGCATTCTTTCCTCTCGATTACTAGATATCGGTCCGTCTTTCTGAGATGCGCTTCTTGATCGATTTTCGTCTATAGGGGAATTTGACTTGGAGGTTCCAGTTGCAGCCAAAGATGCCTGAGCTGCAGACTGTGCAGCTGCTGCCACCTTGTCAACCAAATATTTGAAAATTCGTTGAGACGATGCGCTATGCTATACGATATGCTAAATTCTTCGATAAAGTTTTTCATATTTTTTTTTATTCATACATATTTATTTATTTCTCTGTTTTTATATAACAAATACTGGATCAAGATATTTTATCGGTGTGTATTTTTATTCAAATTTATTACATCTCGTGTTAAAGGTGTCAAAGCTTTTTACGGAACTAATAAAGACATAAACATATGATTGCTATATTATGGTGCTAAACATGTACGACCAATTTGCTAACATGTTGATAAAATTTAATTGAGACAATAGGCATGTACCTGATATACTGCAGCAGCCTGTTGATGCCTAGTGCCGCCGTTTGCCGCTATTTGTGCCGCTGCTGCGGCGGCTGCACTCGTAACTGCGTTTCCATTGACATGACTTTGAGCAAACTTAAAAAATAATTTCATATTTAGAGTAATCAGTAGAATTCGAAAAAATATTGAATAGAATATTTTAGGTCTCTCTTCTGAGATATTTATTGTAAATGAAGAAGGCATTCTTACTACTTCATCTTTTATATTACGTTTTTATATATAATAAGCAAGAAATATAAGTTGCAATTTATGTATTGGAAAATATGACATATTCAATTGCTATCCTACACAAAATAAGAAAGCTACATTTTTTGATCATTGTACAACTATACCTGATTTATATGGTTCAGCATGCTAGGTGGTATCCCACCAGAAAACAATGCTGGATGTGACATCATCATGAGTGGAGCTAGAGCGGGATTCATTCCGGCGGCTGCCACGGCTGCATGTGAGGTGTCCAATCCATTGTGTAATCCCGATGTTGCAACTTGTTGGTATTGCTGACGTAGTGCTTGTTGAGCCTAATACAGCAGAATATGAAATTTAGCTGTTATAAGGTTATTGTATACCATAAACAGTTTTGCTTCTAGAATCATTTCCTAGTGAATTCCCGGAGTAATAGTGAAATAAGGGGTATCGGTTTATCCAAAGGCTGACTATTAGTAATATGGTAATTATAAATTTTATAAGAACTGTAATTGTATTTGCGTTTTATGACCTACCTGCAAATACAAATTTGTTGCATTTGGATGAATTTCATTTCCACCGGCCAGTGTGATATCTTTTCCCGGCACCAAAGAACTGTCTTTTGGTGGACTTCCGCTAACTGAAATGATTATATAGTATTAAAAATAACCAAATAGAACGTGATAAATCGCAATTGAAACATTATTATTGGGCATGAATTAAATCTAAAATCGTTTTGTTAAATTGTTGTTGTCAGTATTTTTGATATTCTCCTTGTTGTTTTTGTTGTTGTTGTTGTTCTGAAAAATACACTTATATCTTTAAATACTGGAACAAATGCTTTTGTAGTTGAGAATTGTTGTTGTCGATAAAATGATATTATTTTTATTTATTTTAAAAATATCTGTGGGTTCTATGAAATTTGTTTTTCACTTTGAAGTTTTTTTTTATGACGTCATTTATCATAAATATATAAATGTTCATTGAGTAAAAATTCCGCAAAGTCGAAAATTTTGACGGTTTTTCATTTATAATTTTTTTTTTGTGATTACTGAAATAAAAAGTGCGATTCAAATATTATTTTACGTGTTTCACAACAGAATTAGACAATGTAAACTAAGCATAAGTAGTTTGGGGACGAAACTTAGTGGTTTTAGACGTTAATCGCATTATAATATTTTCTTCGGTGGTAGCTATTTACAACAACTTAACAAGATATAGATTTGAAAACAAAATAAATAATCACAAACAAAATAAAAATAAGCTTCCACAAAAATATAAACCATGGAGTTTATTTTATAGCCTGCCCGATTAACACGTATTCCTTACCACTTGGTTATTACTTTCTCGTCGCGTTTATTCAGCGGTCACAAAATGACATAGCGATGGATACATATTCAGTAAATAATTAGCTTTTTACGTTAGTATGAAGATATGGCACAAGATTACTGATTACACCTCGAAAGGACAGGCGAACCCCTGGTCGGCACTCGGCAACCAGCCAGTGACGCATACAGTGTATGAGCAGCGAAGCGCTCAATCCTAGTGGAGCGTAACACTCCACGATAAAGGAACTTCCAAAATGAAGTGGAGACTATATTTTTAATTCCAAATCTTACTAGAAGGTGATAAACAAATTTTGAATTTTTTTTCATCAATTACAAAACTTAGTAATTCATCGAAAGTATCACGCAAGTAACACCTGCATAATTTTCAGTAGCAGTACAAAAAGGAAATTCACTTCAATACGGAAACTACAAAAAAATCTTTGAAAATTTTTGCATATTTGCATAGTTTGGCCATTGCTCGAAAACTCATGTACATCACAAACATGATTCCCTTTTCAATATTTCGTATTGTTCTAAATAGGTTTATAAATAGACAAAAAATTAGGTAGTTCCGCCAGAATATATTGTGAATATGTTTCAGTGAGGTGATCATAAGTGGGTGAAAAATAAAAGTCTCAAGCCAAAATATGACAATAATAGATCTGGCCTGATTAGGACACTCACTGTAGGGTCGGTCCAGTGGATAGGTGCATAAACCTAACTGCTGGTCAACCTATTCACTAAAGGATTTTTGATTCGCAAAAATCGACTGTAACATAATGTTTCGACGTTCGACCGATTTATTATGTGAAATTCTATTTTCGTTTACAAGTAATGTTGTCTGATGTCTGATTTGATCATATGTCATTTCTAATTTTCTCTTTGTAATTCAACCGCACAAGACAAGATTCGAAAATATAATTCAGTTCGAACTAATCATGCAGTCCGCTACATTATTTCGACAACCTTTCGCCAGTTAAAACGTTGGAAGTACGGAACTTCTACAGAACGAACAAGATCATTGGCGTTCGCCCTTCTCTTTGAAAATTAGCGAAGCAAATTCTTATGGCGGGGCACACTCCCTATGGAACAGATGCCACTATTCTTACCGACGTGCGATTGAAATTGTCAGGCGAAATAATACCTTATAATTCGTCACACCGTTCGACCGCGGAAGAAAACTCGCTACCAGCAGTATTATTATGACAGTATGTTCCCACCGAAAACGTACAAAGGGATTAGTGAAACCTGGTATGCCAAATGATTGCGGATTTGACTTTTATGCCTGCATCGCGGGGGAATTGAAACAGACGTGACGGAAAGCATATTTTACAGCAATCGCCGAGCGGTCGGTACAAGCATTAATGTCGGCACACGAATTTGAAATTATCAAGTTTGACATAAAACAAAATATAATCTGCGTAGTAAATGATATTTAAACTTTAATTTCGCTATATTCAATCATTATAGTAAGGGTATTTTTGTATATATTTGACTTGGTAAACTGAACACTTACCTTGGAGGTGAGCGCACATTAGGTCACCAGTTCGATTTGGAATAAAATTTTGTATTTTTAAATTTTTGAAAATATGTATATACATTTGTTTATAAACAGATTATAAATAAATTCCGAAACCCCGCAGAAAAGGCGTTCGGTTATGTTTATAAGTAGAGGTAATAGTAGGAGGGATATGCTGTCAAATGATATAAGAATATAAATAGAATATAAATCTAAGACGAATATAAAGACAGTGTTATTTCTCTTAAACTTATGTTTGAATCTTCACTTAGTAACTTCGATTTCAGATCGCGGAATGGCACCAAATACTTACACGGATATCCAATTCCGATCACATTTGTCATTTTACACTAATATGTGAAACGATGATACGGTAATAACTACAAATATGTTTTGGGTCAGAATCTGATATTATGAATTATGCTGTAATACTTTAGAATATTATATTCTATAAATATGTCGTTATTGAAGTAAACCTTCAAAAGCAATTTCTGATAGGTCAAAATGATGTAAAGGGGTCACCTTTATTGGCATTTGCTACAAAATTGTGTGTAACTATGTTATTTAATCTAAACGGAAAAAGATTTAACATATAACATGCGTAATGGAATTATTTTTTGAGTTGATCCTAAATATAAATGACTAATGTGAGTGTAATTATTTTACTGGAAATTTCCATTGAATTTTTTTTACATATTCATATAAAAAGTTTTACTTTTATTTAAAATATTTGTTCCCTTATACATTTGACATAAGTTTCATGCGTAATGCAACCTGAATAATTCTCTTTATAAATCTGCAGTAAATAGATCTGCATTTAAAAGCTAAAATAACATTATGAACGAAATTGAATCTTGCACAGAAACATGAGCAGATAAATTAGTTCGGTGTGCAATTCGCGAAAAATGATTTTGTTGATTTTTGGTATCGATTGTCAGCTTGTTATGCGGAATACGAGATGACAATTTATTTGGTATCCACCATATTTAGGTTTCCTGTCGACAACTTAAACAACATTGTTGTGAGGATATGTCAACTCCTCAACTTTCTCTTCTACCTATTGTAAGTTCATTTATTGTAACATATGCATTAAATGGAGTTCGTGGATTCAAATTTAATTTGAGCCTTGACTCCTTGACATTTTTCAACATATTTGCAGTCATAAGTCACAGGAAAAGTACATTTGTGCTTACAGTTTCTTGAATTGCATACATTAGTCATAATCGGGTTATTTGTGGTGAGATGATCAGTAAGTGTCAGAATAATTTGAAATTGCAATCGTCAAACTAAAAATAAATTTTTGAACTGCAGTTACTTTGTGCATGTACTCGGAACTTCAAATAGAGGTTCCATTACATTTGAACCCACGTACATTTGAACCCATGACAATTGCACCTGCATACTATTGCACCTATGGAAATTTTTTTGTTGTACGGATAGTTGAACCCATCCTAACCCTAACCCGTGGGTTTCAGCACCCGCATATTGATTGAACCCGCGGATATAGACATGGGTTCAAATGTACGTGGGTTCAAATGTACGGTCACATCAAATAGATAGTTGAACAGGTTTGAGTTAAACATAGCATCCACGTTTTTCCACATCATTAACAACGATTCTTCCTGTATATGACTAGCAGTGGAAACCTTGTTTAATATCCAATAACAGTGAATAGTTTAGAACCATTTTTCTAACATGTTCCGCATTACATTATTCAAAAGATATGGTTATGGTCTAGTTAGGTACCTTTTTATAATGTCCACCGGCAGTTCAAAACAAAACAATGGAAAGCCTTTATCTCACTGCACAGTTTATTAGGATCACACATGGTATTTTAGAACAAAGCAGAAGGAAGTGATGTCACAGTAACTGATTTTCAAACTGATACATCATGAGGAGTGAGCACAACTTCGATTGTACTTAAAGTTCAAACACTTGAACGTATGTTTGAACTACATATCAATACAGCAAATATAACGTCCAAATCATTGAAAATTTTTTTGTTTTTTGTTCAGCTATGATTTCTTAAGAGTCCTTGTCGATAAAGGCCATTACTGATGATGGAATTGCTAGTTTACGGCTGATACTCTAATAAAACGACATCATATAAACTTGTTACTTCGTCGGAAAAAGGTACCATCGATATCGGCTGGGGCATAGCGTGAGTTGTGATACATCTTCACATTTTGAGTTTTAGAAAAATTCGGCGATTTCAATTTATGTTAATCTTTAATTATAAATGCCATTGTAAACAAACAACATTGTAACAAATTGATGTATGTGCCGTTCAAAGTTTTTTCCTTGTTTGATGTTCTATCATACTATACAACAGCATAACTACTTATAAATATATATAATATAAAAAATATTTGAAGTTCTGACAGTAGTTTAATGTGTAAATTATAGTTCACAGCTATGACCAAGTATCACTAACGCCTAGTCATGTTTTGATGAGCTTTTTACGCCATTGAATTGCTGATACTCGAAATCAACTGTAGGTGACCTGTATACCTTTTTATTCTTTTTTGTGATGTGATCTTGTTTGAGTTACGCTGTTTAAAGAGATTCGGGGTCGTGTCACCAAATGACGGTCACATCTGTTATTGTCAATATAACTACCTCAAAACGTGTAATAATCTTAATATTTAAATTCATTTAAATCAACCATTGTTCATGAAATTGTGAGATGTCATAATAGTACATATCACACGTTCAAAAAGAGGTGATTCATTACGTTACATACGAAAAAAACGAGAGAATAACGTTGTCTTACCCCTTCTCTCGTGTTGCTGTTGTTGAAGATGTTTTTCAACATCCTGTTCCAATCTCATTCGTTTATGCAGATTACTGATGTCTGATGCCGTTAGCATGCCCTAAAAGGTAAAGTCCCGCGTGAAAGGTAATCATTGTGTCTTCAATGCTATAACCATATTTAGTTTATTTATTATTTTGGAAATTATTACTTTCACTACTGTATCACAAAATTTCTTTTCATGTCTACATGATTCACAATGATATCATATGGAAAATTGTCACCATGTATAGGCTATTTGATCTAAAATACTGCAGCTTTTAGAGTAGCGCCAAACGTTTACTGATTACTTCATGTCCGGAGAATTCTGGTCAAACTTCAGATAAGGGTAATCAAACAAACTTACGTGAGTGCTATTGAGAGATCTTATCCCAGGATGGTGTGCCATGAGATCGGTCGGTGGCAGCATCGGATAGCGCTTCGGAGGTCTGCCAGGCCGGCTGCAATAATACAATGGTTTTAGTATTGGTTTCAGAAATTAATTTAAATTAGCAAAAATTGTGTGCTAAATTGCTTTTGTGTCGAGTTAAAAATGTTGGTTTCGAAGTTTATATTTAAAATTGAGTTTAGGGAAAATGCTTTTATTGGTATTTTATTTGTGGGTTTTAAACGAATGTGGGTAAACGATATCAATTAAATTTATATAATATGAAAATAAACAATAATCAATAGATTCGGGTGTTTGTAATACAATCAAACAATTATCATTTGTAATTACGTTGCGTTTCTATCAAATAATTGTGCGTTGTATTTAGTTGTACAAATATCAATATGTTCTTTATAGAATATCAGATGAATTGATCACTCAAATAATTTTCTGTAAGTTTTGAAGTTTTTGGCAATCTTTTCTTTTATGCCGTCTTTTTTGTCACATATCACTCGGTTGAATTCAATTGAAACAACAATTATGATGAGATTGCTTCTTCTAATGCACATTTGAATTTTTGAAATGCTTAAAATCATACGCATAACCAAATGTACTGTCAATCTGAAGAAAATCATGGTCCATGGTTACGGAATTGTAATTTAATTAAATTATTTTGTCACCTTTCACAGAGTATAATCCAATAAATCAGCCATGAACTGTCACACTTGAACAATTACGTAAGTAAGACAGACATTTGTTTTGCCTTTTTTCATGGCGAGTTTGGAACATTTTGACAAGGTCGCCCCGAAGGTCTTCAATATTCACTATCTCTCTATAATATTAAAGTCGACCCATTCATTACATTAGGGCTTATTACGGCTTCGCTCAAACGAATCAAAGTCAAAATCGCGCTAGTAAATCTGATTAAACTTCAAGACGGATCAAATTGAGAATGCATTCTGCCATGTTTTGTTTCGCAATTTAAAATATTACACGACATAGCAAGGTCTTCATCTATCTGGAGGTATTAATATTTTTGCATTTAACAACGTAAAACATCACTTCCATTTCTACGTAATTCAAACTGGCAATTGGTACATGTTTGTGTGTTTTCACCTACCAGGGAATTTAGTAATGGTGAAAATGTAAATATCACACTTTTAGAGTGTGTGCGTATGTAAATATTCTCACGCAGTCGGTGCCGATCGGAATAAAACTTTTAGCAAGTGTTGAAATAATTTTATTTAAACTGGATTCATTTGTTAGTACTATATAGTACTAAAAGTAGCATGTATATTCGAATTATTGCTTTTTTCTCTCATAGTTGAACCTATTATTTTTCCGTATAAATTAGTCTTGGAAATTCACCACATAATTCTATTTATTTGCGTATGCTATTAGCTACATTGCATCAATGCGTGGTCTAAACCAAATTAAAAGAAAAGGACCTGACAGAAACTACACGATTTTCCACTTTAAATGACGCTACTTGTGGGAAGTAACCCTAACTAGACGTCGCACCACCTTCAAACATTGGGACAAAATTTACGGAACGAGATTAATTAAACCTCAAATATGATTGGATATTTTTTAAGGTTGAAAGAGAGTTATTTTGATAAATCATAATGGCGACCAATGTTCTGGTCTATCAAACATTTGAAAGATATCACATCCCCAAATCAGACAATTTAAGGATTCATAGAAGCATGCACTTGATGAAACCGATTCAGTATTTACTAAAGTTTTAAATTTGATTTGACCGTTGAAATAGCTGACATTAGCCATCGTTCCATAGGCCATTTATCATTGAATATAGAGAACGTTACTATAATGATAACCCAACTCCCTTTAAAAAAGTCTTTTAAATACGGTTATGAATCTGGTTTGAAGGGTCGATGATTATAAAAACATCAGCGAAATTTCTGATTCACTGACTGGATTTATGAACAGGCAGTTAAGCAATTCTTCATTAAATTATTTATATAAATATTACATTGATAACCAATTGAATTAGCATAAAGTAATTACATAGTACAAAATAAAAAAAAAGCCAAATAATAAAATCTAATAAAATTAAGCCAAATGGACAATCGCTATAATATTACACAAAACTAAGTATACGTTTCTTCCCATTTCCCACAATAAATTTCAAAATAACGTAATTTGCTCAATTTGAGGCAAAACGGATATTTCTTAAAACTATTTGTTTCTATGAAATAGACATTTGGAATAATTTAAAGTTCATGCCTCTATCACACCCTTTCACCCATTTACTCCAAATTTAGAATTGATGTCTTATCTTTTATCAGATGGTAAATTATAGCCTTGGATATTTGTTGGTAGTATTTGAAAGGAGAATGGATCCCTCTGACAGTGGCCAGTCAAACACGAAGAAGTCAACAAAATTTATACCAGACCATTGATGCAGGGGAAAGGTAAGGCAAACATTGGGTGAATTTTAATAGCACAATTTTACCTCTATGTATTAACACTTTACTATAAATCGCTCAGACTATTTCTATCAATAATCAATTGCATCAGAATGCACTATGTGCTCATTATCACTATCACTATTGGGCGTGATAATTAAAGAACACACTTTCGTAAAAAGCTGAAAAAGTGGTGTTCATGAACTTTGTCAGGTAACTCAAGTGTAATTTGTAAGATTTTTCACTTTATATCCAACTGTGTGACAATAAAAAATTTATTAATCAATCTGATTTTAGTTTTTTCTTCCCATGTATTATTACCAGGTAAATGGAGGGCAATTTTAATCTACAAATAAAATGATGCACTTTTTCGAATAGTATGTCATATGTCTATGTTTCACTTAATTAACGGAAATGCCGACTGAAATGAAGATAATTTAACATGTACACAAAAAAATTACAAATGAGAAAATATCACAAAAACTTCGAAACTCCTGCTTGAATTGGAGTTGTTTTAGGTTGTGTTCATTTAAACCATTTTAATATATATATTGTTTTATGCCATATTGCTTGGCACGGAAAGGTACCAGTGCAAATTTTCCTACAACTTCAGCATTTTTTTTTAATAATATTCTTGATTAAAATCGTTAAATATGTTAATCGAGGAAATATTTAGATAAATTTGAAATAAAACAAATTTTGAAATTACGCAATGTCAACATTTTTGAAATTGTCACGTTTAAATTAACATTTCTTCATTTCAAAATGTTCAAAGCAATTATAAAAAAAAGAACAATCTGAAAAATATTGGATTACAAAACTCGAATTATTAGTAATATTATATCTGATAGTTAATGCGCTCAAAATTCGGATCGAATGGGAATGATTAAATTGTTTTTAAGCAATTATTAAAAAACACTGCAGAATTTGTGGGAAAATGGTTTAAGTATGTTTTCAACATTCATTCAGAGCTGCTTCAGTTATTCGCGAGTTCGTAAGAAATGCTTTCATTGGTATTGATTTAAACTTGTTATTTTGCCCTACACATCTGGTTTTAGTTTTTGTGGTTTTAGTGAAAATTATAAAAAAAACTTCATACTAAACTATTACCTAAAAATTTGCGCCACATTTTTATGATCTGAAAGTCATATCACAATAAAATATAACCAGTTTTTCGAGTTTCAGTACGTTAAATCAATGATCGGAAAAGTATATTTCCCGTTTACAAATACAGCATAGCGTTTTATTTAAATCAAACTTAAATGCCGCATTCTTTTGCGATTGTTATTCTATATTTCAATGTTTTCTGTTGATGAAAAGATTGATTTTAGACTAGATAATTTAACGCTAACAACAAAGTATTTCAATTGAGAAAGTGTCGCATCAAATTTAACCCAATTTCTCTAAATTATGTTAGAAATTCCATATAACTGATTTCAACAAAACATTTCCAAGTCACAAAAGGGTACATTTATTTTGTCGCGCTAGTTTATATACGAATATGGGGCGTTAACGCAGTAACTTCATTGAATATATTATAAGAAAAATCAGACTCATCATAATTTAATTTATTCGATTTATCAACCTGGCATACTTAGTCAAGTATGACTTAATGATCGGACACACCATTAGAGACGTGGTCCATTTACGATCTACGCTTATGCAATTGTTATCCGTAGCAAATGTGGTCGTCTCAATCACTGTTGTATTTCTGGTTATTTTTTTCTACGTATCATTTAATTTTCGTCAAAACCATATCACACCAACTGTATATTATTCATTTTTGATTGTTTATGGTTTCGCGGAAACAAGAAAAATGAGATTCCATTATGACCGCACTAATGGCATTTGACACTTAGTGACATTAAAGTAATTCCGGGAAAAATGATACAGGGAAAATTGACGTGAAAAACAATTTTTAACTTATATATATGAAATTATAGATATGCATTTTACAAGTTGATATAAATCATCTGAATAAAGATATTGCAATTTAGATTTAACATCGTACGATTTGTTTCGAATGGGGCTATACAAAATCAAACCTATTGTATTATACTTTAATTTTACTTCTGTACGTTAGATATTTTCTTATAAATAAAAACATGCTAAAATACACTTAGTGACCCAAAATTCGTTTCGAAAAAATAAGGAAAGAACAATTTCATTTCGAGCACAAACATCCAATTTCCAGTCATGAGTGTAAATTTAGACTTCGCAATAATATCAGATATGGTCCTGTTTTACGTGAATATGTTGCTTTGTTGGTGTTTATCGCATACATTTTCAGAAAACACCGATATTTCAGATTGCTTTTAGACATTCAGATGTTATCAGACAAGATTATTTTTAATTAAAGTCATAAAACCGGTTAAAAATCATTGTTAATAAGACGAACGACATCAGAGGGCGTGGATGACCATCTTGGTTTTTTATTCCCTGCTAACATCCAATGTTTTTATTCAAAACTACATAACTTTATCATATCACTGCTATACTGCACGAACGCCATTTTGTTAAGTAATCGTCAAATTTAGTTTTTAAGTCGATTTTGATTAAGTGTGTACAGTCACGAAGCATGTAGCTGAGAACAATTTAAAATAATATATTCTGTTTTTGTTTATACCGTTACTTGGATTTGTTCAGACTTGTTTTTAAATTCCTCATGGTATATCTTAGTAGTAATGAGGTAGTGAGTCTCATATTTAAAGTCGTATAATATCAATAACCAAATTTTTATTTATTAGTCTCTTTAATTAATTGCGCATAGCATTCGTGTAGCAAATTTATTTTGAGCAAAAATTCGCACAAAATAAATAATTTTCTTTTTTAAACTTGAAATAAACAAATCTTAGCAAAGGCTATATTACACTTATCTGAACAAAATTCATCATTTCAGTAACTCATAATCAATTCACTCAACTCGGATGAATATTATTTTTTTATTCCAGATGAGAGAACTGGGACTATATTTATCAACAGTTATATAAATTCATATACTGTATCAAAAACAAAAACTTTCATTTCCATCTATTTATTCTAGGAATAAAATTGCCGTAAAACGCGTCACATAATATTCGTATAGATATGTACTTATTGATATTTTTTATCTGACAATCTCAAAACATATGACATAAATGGACAAAATTCATGCGTGCCTAATCGGATGGACTGCTGTCGAATTCATAATAATAATCCGATAATGCAATACTTACGCGCTTGAAATGCGTTTTAACTCTGCGTTTGTAGATGTTACTATGCGCATAATTAGCATTCAAAAATCATTTTAACCAAAACATTTTTTCAGATATTCAGCACGGTTGATTGTCGTCGAATAGGAAACGCAAAAGGGTACCAATGTAAAAAAAAGGATGAGCAATACCTTGCTTGAGTGCAGTCTTGGTATAAAGTTTCGAAGTCTTTTCTTGTGATAAGTTTACATCTGTTGACGCCGGGTTGAATTGCCCCAAGACCTCGGAGGATTCGAACCTGAAATTCGAAAATATATGTTATTGAATAGCTTAAAAGCAACATAGATTTAAAATCGTTCAATAACAACTTGAATCTTCCTCTTTATCTAGCTTGGCTTCTGATATGATTATGTTAAATATCTATAACTAGATAGTTTTATCACTATAAATTATAAAATTTTGGTAGCAATTTGAGATACATTTCTGCTCATTCAGATTCTCGAGAAATATGAAACAAACTAGTAATTTCCCTACAAACTATCATTTTTTACAAGTAAAGCTGTACAATCACGCTCTTCCTCCCGGAAAATATGCTTTGTTCATCTTGCTAAAATCTTGTTTATCTTGCTAAAAACTAAATAATTGTGGAATTATAATCATTTATTTGTATCAAATTATAGAGATTGGGTGACGTCATTAAAAATATTACTGCGCTCATACCGACAAGGTCGAACAGGCCCTCATTGTCACTCATTTTGCAAACCATTGAAATTATTGCCGAATAGTTGACCGTAATAATCACTGAAGTTCATAGGTTTTCAGATATACGTTACAAATATCTTCACCTGTTCAACGTTGCATACTACCGGAGAAATGCTCAACCTTTTCAGTTTTGTATAAACGGTATGTAGACCTCCTACTAGGTGCTTTAAAAATAGGTCAAAAGCCTGGAGAAAAAATTAAAACGAATTAATACATGATTAAAATTGATGAGTTTGGATACCTCACTCATTTGATATTAAACACATTTTAGAGAGAGATCTAGCCCACCTTTATGGATATATGTTTCTATAGAGATGGAGAGAAAATTTTACATATTCAAGCAATCTAGAAAGCAGGATTGAGTATGATATATCTTTGATGACTGTCAGTCGTCTCAACATACAAGCAGCTTATACTCAATAAAGATAATCTCTTATACAATACAATATTATGCATTGTCAATTTTTAAAGATTTACATTTATATAAGAGTATAAAAAAAATTTAATAGAACTTCCTGATACAATTCACCGTGGTCAGAAATTCTAAGGCGGAAGACATTGTAGTCTTCTAAACACAGATGTCTTCATTTCTGTTTATTTTTAACTAACACATGAATAGAAACACACTCCACTCACTTGTGGCAAGCAGATAAATTCATCACCGCCAACAAAAAAACTTGCGACTTTGGCACCTCGTAGTTCAACCATTCTGCATTCATTGTTGGCTGGTGTGTTTTCAACGGGCTGGGGGGTGCTGTATGCTGGTCTTTCATGCTGGAAAATATTAGATTGCTTTTACATTTGCAAGTATTTTTAGCATTGATTGAATAAACTAATAAGTTTCTGTTGACAAATTTTAACTTCGTTGTCGTCAAGATCAATGGAACTCAAAGTAGTGTTTTATTGCTTTATGACACTAAAATGCTCATATTTTACGTTCTTGTCCATCAAAAGACAATTGACGTCATCATTTACATTTTAATTAATAATATGAAACAAATATTACCATGTTCATGTTCTATTTTCAACTGGTTGAGGGTGTTAACTAGGTGATTAGAACTCCTAAATTTCAGGATTAATTCGGCGTTACACGTGGGATCTTGACAGTTTTTGTTGTCTATCCGTCTCAATTACAGCAGGTTTAAACATTCCGTCCGGAGATTGTAAACAGAGCGGAACCCGAAGGGTCAAAACTCACTATAAAAATGGATCGAATACGCGAATACCATGCATGGCGTCACAATGAAAACAATAATAGAACTGCAACATAAAACCATAATAAAATGTCAAAATGTAATGATTTCAAACTATGCATTCAAGCGTGACCGAATCTGGAACATCATACGACTTCATTTTCAGTGCGGAAACATGAGTGAAGAGTGCAAAAAGTAATGCCATTTTCCAACAAATCTTAACAATGATATTTATTCAACAAAGAAATAAATAATCTAGTACTTTAATATCATTTTTTAACATAACCAGTTGTTTTTATATGGATTATAATTTATAGTAGAATCTTATTTGTAAATAATACACAGCACAACAAAGATTGATCGGACTACTGAAGTATGCGCACCAAGATGTCGCACAACCTGAACCCTAATCTGGTACACAACCTTAGTTCAGGTTGTGCGCCATCTTGGTGTGCATACTTCAGGAGGTCCGATTGATCTTATACAATTGTACCATTCATTAAAAGTAATTTTAAAAGTAGCAACAAATTTTCTCCCAGATTCATTTTTGTATCTAAAGAGTGGAAACAAAACATAAATTTTGCATTTTTGGAAATTTCTTCAAAATAATTAATGATTGAGGTGACCTTATCATTGTGATTGTCGAGATCAAAATATCGCACCCGATTTCCATCAAACAATTAGAAATAATATTTATATGTTTTCTTTATGAATAAATCAAATATCAAAAGTATGTTTAAATTGACAATACTTGGCGAGTAATAATTAGTCCGAATTGCTTCTAAATTGCTAATCCAATTTGTTGTGAACAAGGGACAAGCTGGCGGCTTTACCTAACTAAACTCCAATTAGGGCATTTCTGGCATGAAAGCCAAATATACTTCCTGGTGATATCCAGAAATATTAAACATTGTAGAATTGTCAAACTACCAAACAAACATGAACACAGATAAATTTGACTTTGATACGAAAGAGAAAAGATTAATTGATTACTATAAAGTAAATTTCGAGGTTTCTTATCTTTATAATAAAGTCGCGTTGTGCACATGATCGGCATTCTAAAATTAACTCGGTCCATGCAAGATCGACGGTGGTATATTTATGTACGTATCTAATTCTGAACAATTAAAGCTAATTTGAACTTTGGCTGTGCCAAATCTTCGAATTCACAGCATTTTCCCAGGACCCTTGATTAAAGTCGAAAACAGCTTGTTTCTAAAATTAGATAACTTTACTTCATTTGTTCATTTTATGTTTTGAGTTTTCTTTCATTTTTCGACTTAGATGAACTTGCCAATCTTTTAGAACTGTTTTTATTTTTATTTTCTATGTATAAAAATTATACAATAAGTGCAAAAATGAATGAAAATATTTTGGAAAAAAAGTCACAAAAATGAATATATTAAATAGAATTTTAAAGTATTTCAATAATTCTAATGCACTCGGTGTGGGTATCAATTTATCATGTTTATTTTGATAAACGGCTTTACTAATCGCTTACTGAATTTTAATGGCTGTATTTTTATGTTGCCAGATTTAGTTACCACGTCTGGGGGGATTATGTGACATGGTGAATGTTTTTTAACTTAATCAGACTATAACTCCTGGCAACATCCAATTTTTTAACGAACTCGGTAACAGCCTCATCATTGCAAGTTTACGTTACTTCAAAATATCAGTAGACTTCATCAATTTTTCCACCGAAGGGAATAAAACTGATATATTTCAATGCTAACTATGACTGATCTAGAAATCGTGATTGTCGTATCGGGGAAATGATAGAAAATAATGTAATAAATGTCCATTTCACATGTTTAATGAGTATTTGGCACTCCCACAATGAATAGATTTCCTCGTTCATATCATTTTTCGTGACCGGATACCGACTGAACACAATGGTAAGAAGCTAATATATTTTTCTGTGAATCGATTGAAAGTTTAAATTCGTTTCGTTTCTACACTCATTATCAAAGTGAACAAAAAACGAGTCAACATCCAACATCCATGATCAAAAACACAGAATTTCAACGATAGGAAATAATTTATTAATCGATTCATCATGAAATCGTTAGCTATATTAGCAGAACATGTTTCCCACCCCTCGCCTATAAAATATATAAAAGATGTTAAATGACGGGCCTGATTTCTAACTTCCCGTTTCAGTGAATTTTAAATAGAGAGTAACGTTGCTGAAATAGTTATGACAAACCGCGTTTTGAGCCACACTTTGTGATTGACTTTTCAAAAGGCAACGAATGTATTTTTCATTTTTTCCTCATTTTTATTACCCCATCCCGCCCTGCCTCTTCATACTTTATTTTTCTGTGCATAGATTGATGTTCCGTAAGTGGATATCAATTTCTAAATACACTGGTACTTCATTGTGTTGTTTATTGTCCAAATGGTTAAATCGCTTCGATTTATTTTGTAATAGTATTATTGATTTAATATGATTGTGTTTTCTACCAACGTCAATGGATAAGAGATTCTGTTTTGCATCGAAAATTAAAACCTCATTCCCTGAAAAACCTGAGTAAAATTGTCAAATGTTTTCGGTACCATTGCGGTGCTCAATAACTTATCCTGACATTTCTTTATAATTGAGTCGTTTGAGTAATGGCGCACAAGATGAGTGCGTTGAACAACAAATTTCATACTGCAGTTCATAATTGAAAAGTTTTAACAATGACTAATTATGATTATGATTAATAATGGTATAATTGCTAAAATATAGGCAATAAATAATCACTTGTGTGTCACTTGGATTTGAGTGAAGTGGGAAAATTATATTACGAGGAATTATAGAATTGAAATAGCGCCACATTGAAGTGAAACGCACATTACTTACTCGTATTTGACAGTAGATATATTATGTTAATTTCTGCGTTATGTTTCTAATAGTTTATCTAAGCATGTCTAATTTAAACAGGATGCCGTTCACCGCTGTTACTAGATTCCCGTACATTTTGCTAAATTAGTATTTTTTTTTTCAAATGAGCGATTGACGTTACAATGCTCACATGCTTATAAATATTTTATATTTTAAAACAATCTGATTACTAATAATGTTGTTTTTATGTTTTTTGAATTATGAAGAACCACAAAAAACCAAAGATAACAAACAGAGTTACAATTTTTTGACCAAACTACTCAAAAGTTTTCATGCGTATTTTCTTTATATAGACCTTGGACGAACAATAATCATGCACGTTTAATAGTTACACAAGCGACAACCTTAATAATATACAAAAAATGGAATATTTTATTGCTCTTTATTAGAGACACCTGTGAATTATAAATTACACCATAAAAGTGAAAACATGAAGCAAAAAATTCACAAAGCAATGTTGCATAGGCCCAATTTCTGAAAATACAAGAAAGAGATATATTTTTTTTATAGTCGGATGTATTTCTATTGTACGATCCGCCCGTCGCAGTTACGACACCGGATGCGAAGTGAATCCGCCATTTTTGTTCATAGTTGACCTATGTTATCATAGTAAACCTATGATAAAGTTCGTCATGAAAATTGTATTTATTTTCAATCTTGTAAAATGGAATTTTTCAGAATTCAATCATACATTGTTGCGTCTAAACGTGTACAATTTGAGCATATATTAAAATATTTAGCTTATACTGCAACAAGTGTATCTTTTTTCAATATAGTATTTTTTCTAACCATGCAGACATACATCACTTATTAAAGTGATGATATTTCTTGAAAAAGAAATAGTCAACTGCAGAAATAAAATAAGGATGCAAAGGTAGAAGATAAGTTTTAATTTTTGATGATTCTACGTGTATATTTCTTGTGCAATATTGCTGAATCACATGTATAACACAACGCAATATTACGTTTGCATGGTAGGTTTTAGTTTTTGATAACAGAGAAATCAGTACTGGTTATCTACAACCATATCACGTGACTGATTATTTTATAAAAATATTAAAATGGCTTCGTCAATGGCAATCCCGATGTACAAAATTAAGTCTGCGGAATTCAAAGGCGTGCATGTCGGCGTAAGCAAATATCATGATTCGGCATTTTGTTGGTTGGATTACTAATGAATATATTATGAAACAATTGCCTTATATATTTTCTGCAAATATATACATTTTGAATCTGAGATTAAACTAGAAACTAACTCCATTCTTCGAAATAAAAACTACCTTGTATGTGTGTATAGAAGGTGATGCCATGCTGATTCCATCCCATTTTCCGTGCATTGCTAAACCAAGCGGCATTGTGTGGAGTCCCTGGTGCAAATGTTGAGAGTGCCAAAAGAGGTGAGTAATAATTTTCTATCTTTGGTATAATATACTTAAATAATAGATTTCTAAATATCAGTTGTCGAACAAGCAAAAACAAATTTGAATTAGAATTCTAATTTTTATAGCTAAATTTTGTGCGGTGTAATTGAATGTGTTATGCGCTGATCCCAAACCAACTCAAACCTGAAAAACTGTTCTTTTGGGGCGGTCTCTAATAGATTCAAAAGTAGAAATAACCTTGTGCAAATACTCGTAACGATCTTTGAATTTGTGCCTGTATATATTGGCTCAATTTAAACGCAATCAATTACGAAACCGATCCGACCTTGACCTGTCTCGACTTAAAACGCTGAATTTATCGATTTTACACGAGTTTCAATGCAATGTTTTATTCTTTGCTCGTTATTTTCAAGAAAAAAAGAGCATTTAAAGCAACTTTATATTTCTCAATAAAAGATTAAGCTGAGGTATTATAATCACACGTTTAGATCAATGACTAGATATGTTATAGAAAATCTATCCAACGTATGAATTATTGCTTATTCAGACTTTTATCTCAAATTTGATGAACAAAACGTAAGTAAGTTCATCAAAACTTTCAAATTAAAAAATGTCAGATATGCATTCTGTCTAAATCTATCGAGTTTCACTGGTTGAATATAGTAGAATTGCAATCAAGAGTATTTTATTTAGGGAAAAATAAATAGTTCATATTGTATATGTTTGGCTCACTTTATGGATGAAAAGGGATAAACTGAATATATACCTCTCAATTCTCACTGTTTTCAAACCAACTTGGTTTAACCCATATAAGTGACACGGCCAGCTACCTTTACATTGCGTCGTCGTGGTGACAATGGTAACCCCTCATATGTCTAAAACTAATGTCTATTCAAGTTGTCAAAATTATAAACTCTGTCCCTTTTACGAAACTTCAGCGACTTTCAAAGGCCGGTTGATTGGCCAACTATAAATCTACCAATAAATTGTTCTGACTTCTCGATATTCTCATTTACCAAGCCGGACATACGTTCATGCGATACGCTACAAAAAACTCATTTAGCTAAGCATATGGCGATAGCGTTTGCATATACATTTTAACTTCGAATTTTCCCTGGCCTCATATAAAAAATATATTCTTTTTGAACTATCGTTTTCATGATACTCAAAAATATGCAAACGGGGAGAGTGTGGCAGAGCGAATCCGCCAGAGACGATACAAAGTCTATGCAATGAGAAACTGTCTGTGCAGTTGAAGTCTACAAAGTATATAAAGCGACAACATTCCGTACGACTATGCAAGCGCGCCATTGTTAATATTTTCGGCGTCGAGACTTATCTAAACAAAATATCAGAAAACGAGTTTTCCTAGATTTTTCTCTGACATTCGCTCCAATCGATATTTCATCATGTTAATGTATTGAAATGGACTTTTTATAAAAATTTTACTCGAACATTTTTTGCGTATACACTTGCAATAAGTCGCACCATTATAATATATATAATGCATGATATCGGAGGTAAATTCCCTACCATATTATGATGATATATCTGACAATTTTGCCGGAACAACATCAGATCTCTTGTATCACAGTCATCGGTGCTTACCGTGTACTTCTGACCAAAGGCTTGATACATAATGAATACCAACAACAGCTATTTTGCAATGCTTTTATGATTGTTTATAAATTAACTGTATGTGATATTCACAAGATCAGAGACCGTCATCATAGATCATACTGATGAAGAAATACAAAGAGAAAATAAAAGTCTGAAATTCTGTTCGAAATATTAAACACTCACCGATAATAATTTGAGTTGGTTGTCAAACGTGATCAATGGATATCGTACCTAGATCATGCTCGATTAACCATTATTTTTTACAAATTTCATGACTGTAATTACTCTGTGCAATTTTAGTTCAAAACTATTGTTTCAGTTTAATAGTCATCGAACGACCTCGTTTAAGAAGTAGAAGCAGAATGTTAAAAAACAACAGAAAATACACTGCTACATTAATTAATTTTGGCACTACCGTTCACACAAAATGCAGGCAAAATAACCTCAAATTGGACCAATGAGGACTAACACTTTCAAATAAAGAAGTTATTTGTATTTCCGATGAAGTTTTACAATGCTATTACGATAAAATGATAGTAAACTTTCTGTAATTGTTATTGTAGTCGCATGAACCTTCAAGGAAACTTTAAAATCGGTTATTCGAGTCTTAATGACGAAAGGAAGTGAGTGATCTTTGATAATATATGGCAGTATTTTATAAGAGCAGATTTTACCAGCACAAGCACATATTGCTTTTGTCTATAAAATTGTTAAACGATTTAAAATTTCAGTAACATTACTGGCATTTACCAATTATTCGTAACTCATAGGCATCAGTGTCATATATAGTTTGTTCATTTATTTTTATTTTTTTTAAATAAAAAAGTAAAATGCTGCCATATTTTAACTTTCAATAGGTCAAAAGAAGCGTAAATACAAGTAGTCATTGGATAGCCATGAAATTTCAAAATCTAGGAAAAGGAAATTAAGATATCATGGGCCAGCAACAAAATATTCACTCTTATCGGATACCTATATGACAAAGTCAATGAAACAACCTATAAAAAGTAGATTTAGTTATTTAAGCTTCTACTATTTTATATGTATAACATGTTTTAATCAGCTATTCTTAGGATTTTAATTCGAGATTCAAATTCGCGAGGAAATTCAACATAGTTAGACACAATGATCTAAATCAGGGGTGAGCAACCTTTTTTGCAGGCGGGCCAAATATCAATAACCGCGTGAAACCGCGGGCCGCACTTTCATTTGAAGTGAAGGCACAGTTCCAAAATGGTGTCTTTTTGTTATTGATCTCATGTCATCATCAGGGGTTCTTGCAGAATTTATGAGTTAAAACGCATAAATTTCTTAAAACTTTAATTCGAATATATTGTAACACCCAATTTTGTCACACCCAATTTAAACAAATTCAATGAGAAATTTGATGCTGGAGCCTTTTCCGATTACTTTTATCCAAATTTACTTATAAAGAAGTGCTAGCAATTCGATATGACGCCCATTTTAGAAAAAAAAAAGTTACCGCAAAGTGCCATTTTTGTAACCATAACCTTTTTCAAATTTGGAAAGGTTGAGATGTTTTCAGTAAAATACACCAGGATTCATTTCCAAATAATTTGCTGTCAAATCCTATTCTAGGTTAAATTTAGACGAAATCAACTGATAGGCTGGAATCAAAATTCATTTAACTTTTGTATCTTTTTATGTTATTTTTTTTTAAACTGCTCTCCAATTGCCTACGCGGGCCGCATAATTTTCCTTTGTGGGGCGCATTTGGCACGCGGGCCAAACTTTGCTGCACACCTCAATACGTTTGATATGTTATAGACAAGGCGTTGTGATCTTGCATTTGTGATTTTTTGTTTATAAGAAACGGATTAATTCCCTTTTATGCCTATTTTCGTCTTCATTCAATACTTCCTTCAGACGCCGTAAGAGGGAGACAAAGATCTATTTCACACGGAAAAAATCGAATAATACTCATTTATTCTCTTTAAAGTAGAGTGTGATTGAGGACTTTTCGTATTTACTTTTCTCCCACTTAGTATATTACTTTTTGGCTACTACATTTTGTACTAGTGACGCTCTGGTGCGACTCAGATTTAATCCTAGAAACCGGTTGACGTCAATCACTTGTCATTTACTCTGCCACTCTTCTTGAGAACAATGGAAAACAAGCTATTGTTTTGAAGGATCAATTGATATCGTACTTTATAGAAGTTGTTCCGAATTTAGAGAAAATTCAAGAGGAATTCCTGATACAGCTAATTTCCCTGTAATCAACGGAACACAAGAACAATGGAATAGAAAAATATGGATGATGTTTTGTTCAATATATCTTTAAATCGTGAATTTTTTAATCAATATTATATATTTGTGAAAAGTGTTGAATTTCCTAAGTCCTGAATACGTAAGCCCTGGATGTAAAAAAACATTTTAGAGCAATAAATCAAATCACATTGCTTTAAAACCCCTACCCAATTCTGTCAACTTATAAATAATAAAATTTAACCTTACCACGCCAATCAAGGAAGTTGAAATTGAAAATGGAAGAAAGTGGAACTGGAATTGAAACAACTGCAGATTTATGCAAATCGTTCGAAAGAAATTTTTCGTTTTCCCTTTTAGCGATTAGGATTGAGGAAATGAAGGCTGTGTCATTTATAATACAATTACATTATAGCAAATGCAAACTACAATAATTAATTAGCAGCAAATACATAACTAGTTAAATTTTGCAACTTTTAATGCAATAAATCTTTATTTATTATTATTATCATTTTCTTATATTCTCGCACTTTTATAATACGTCCTTTAATATACAAAATTTAATGATTAAGTCAGTCTTGGCATAAACGTTTATGCATTCATCTGATGTGATGGCGAGGTTCTATAGGAGGAATATGAACGACTTATTATTGTATAGATGCTGCAAGAGTAGGCTCCTTGTGAAATTTTTGTATAATTACTTTTAACTAGGAATTGTGCATTGTGGAGTTTCTAGTTCACGCAATATTTTCCTGGTCGTTTTGAGTCTCATCTATTTCAATTATATTTTATGAAAATCCAACAAACACATAAAACATGTAAAAACTGTATAAATGAAGTAGGAACAATCATAACAATTTTTAGAACATAACGTCAAATATTTTCAAGAGATTACAGTCAGACATAATTGGCTTTCCGGCTACTAATCTTAGAACGTGAATTTTGCGCATTAAGTTAAGCATTCGTGCCTAAATAACCAAATAACGCAGCAAATACATGTATTTTAAAGTAAATGATTTTTTTTTAAATTTATTAGCGTGCAATCAAAGTATGGTCCATGTCTGGTGTAAGAACTAATTGCATTTACAATGGGTAACATAGCAAACAACTTTACTCTCTGATCTTTTCAACAGTTAAGTTTGTTCTCGAGATTATGGTAAGGCTATAATTAAAATCTACTCAAACGTTCACTTAAACCCCTATAAG